AAGACTAACAGTTTATGATGCAGATCATTATTTCTGAAATAATTTTTCTGCGAAGTTTAGTTCCTTTTAATAACAACTGCCTCGCCAATGGTAGATGAAGTGTAGGTATGTACGAAACAGTACTCACAACATATCGTCATCGATCAGACACTCGATTTCCGCGATTTTCCTTTTATCGTGGCCGGTCACAACAACATCTAATGGATGTCGAAAATTTTTCAGAAGATCAGAGTATAATTTATGATCTAGCATTTCAGCGTTCGGGTCAGCGATAAACTTCGATATTCGGCTCTGTTACGTAACAGGCAAAGTATCGGGCGGGGATAGAAAATTTTTCATAACTGTATAAGCTCTGCTTGATCCGTAAAATTTACCATCATATCTCTGGGAAGACCTGATTGCTATTATGAGATTATTCTCGGTTGAATCATGCCGCTTAAGATTCGATCTAAAAAGGAATTTCACGTCGCGCAGAGTTGGAAATTAAATTTATTCTCAACATTATGCAAATCAAACATGGAAATCAATTATTTACTAAAATTTCATCGGGTTGATTAACCTAAAAGGAATCGATAGCTAAATGATCTTGTCACTAAAAAGTCATTCAGTGTGAACAACCCCAGGGGGTTTTGATAAAGGCCGCTTACCGCCATCTATAAAACCTCCCAACAGCCGTCTTTGTAGAAGGCGAGCAGGCTCTCATCTTTCCCTAGCACAGTATCATCGGCAGCCGATTAAAAGAAAAGTTACCGACACATCTATAACCTCATAATTTTTCAGTCAGGCACTGAAACAACGCAGACAAAAAAATTAAAGTTAAAGATTTTGTTTTCACGCGGCGATTGTTCCTAATAATTATTGCAAATTGACAGATAGACTTAATTTGACGAGATTTTGACGCGTACCTTCGATATGTCACATCTCATGCACTTAACCACGTGTGCATGGATGCTGAAACACGTGGCAGCAACCTGGCACCCAAAATTTTTAAAGGTTAAAAATGAAATTTAATTTAGAGAAGAAGACATTCATAATTTGGCCAATAGGTTAGTGCAAAACCGCGACTTTTTGTAGGCCAACTAAACCTTTGTGGAAAAACAATTATTATAAAAGCAAATAAACAAAATTTTACCATAAAAAAACACTTATTAATCAAGACGAGACGGATAAATTACGCGAATTAATCGATTTTTCAGACAATTATAACAATCGACGCATTATCAAACTTCTACCATGGTTTTTATTTTCATCATTCACCTCCAAATTATAATCCAGAATCTGTCATTTACTAGAATTTTCAAACAAATTTAAGTATTTAGTCTTCGAAGGCAAAAAATTTGTCGCCTTGTCACAGTTGTGCTCAGACTCTTTGCTCAAAAATTTCTCGCCCGCTATATGACGCCCACTCATCGCGCATGTCAGACGAGCATAAACACGCATTTTGAGTGGCTTTGTAAGTATTTACCTGGCATGTTTACAGTGTATTTAGATATACAGAAGCCATATTGTATAAAATATATATACACATACATATATATCGTATTGCTATCATGGCCCACTATCATCACAGTGACACGATGGTGATATTCTTTTGCAACCAGATAATTTTTTTTTTCGTCTAATTTCTTTTATCCCAAGAAAACACGAAATTACGAAGAACAAATTTCTATTTTGTGTGGGTGTTTACAAGAAAAAATATCGAATGGATTTTCAATACTTTGACCGAGTCCTAGTCACGGGTCAAAGTGTGTGTGAAAAAAAAATCTTGAAACATATGCGGCCAAAGACTTTCCCGTGATATTAGATTTTTCGTGTTAAATAACATCACGAGATAAGTTTTTTATTAAAAATTGTGATCAGAAAAAAAATTTGACGGCCTCGGTTAGCTAAGCTTTATCCCACTGTTACGTAATAACCAAAATATTGATGGAACAAATCCTGTTTTAAAGCGAGATATTATCTCAAGAAATCTTTAAAGTGATGACTTGAAAATTTGGGAGATGAAAAACGCTGTTGTAACATTTCATAATCAGCGAAAATCACACCAAAATAGAGGGAAAACTTCCCCCCCTACAGCGAAGGAAGTTTCAAGTCAGGTCCTATCCTGGGTCTACTCTGTAAACTAGTTTTATCGCCTTTCGCGAATTAGTCGAAAATGCGAAAACAAAGATTGCCTTGTCTAAGGGCAGCCAAAACATTATTATCAAATCCCTCACAGTGCAATGAAAGCAAATGCTCAGAAAAAGTCGCAAAAATAACGTCAAGTACATGTGACGGAGGGCGGCTTCAAGTAACCTTGGCCTTTTCAGATTTTTTAGGACTTCCTTCGTTTCAAGGCATTCACACATCCGAAAATTGTGCGCTCATGAGGCTGCTAACACCCGCTTGTTCCGCTGGCAAGAAACCAATCGTGTAAACTGTACAGGCGGGATGGTTTTTTGCCTTTTAAACAATGATTCATTCATTGCTCAACATACAAAGAACGATTGTGCTGTGTCACTGTTGTTTTCGGTGTTTAAACGCCATTGTGTGAAAATTCTTGGCGAAACGAGAACAATAGGCTACCATGGTTACTAAGTACCAAAATATTGCCATTCATCAGCTGATTTTATTTATTTCGTTCTGCTTTTGTCAAAAAAATATTTACAGCCTGCTCGAAGATTGAGTTTTTTCGTTAAAACAGTTACTCTAACGATCAAAGTCGGCGTCGCAAATTACAAAGCTAGCGGTTCTATATGATTCTCTCATGTATGTATCAGCAGTACATCTAACATAGTGAATCTGCATACAATATGTACAATTATTTTGGCGTAGAAATACAACTTTCAAAAGTAATTGATCGATAAAATTTTTCCGGTGTTTACGGAAGTTTATTTACTCCAGGCCGTGGTCTCGTATCATCATTCAAACGATGTCCATTGCGACAGTTCGCTTGAAGGCTATGCCCGTTTGATAGCATCTCTGAAGAGTTCATTCTGTCTCCAATTCTTGCCAAGATCCTTCCAATCACTTTGCACAACTCTTTATCCTCCGAGCTCAACTCACATGAAGCACAAACTTCGTTGTCTTGAGACTTTGTGCGAACTAATCCAGGTTTGCTTCGATCCATGAGCAACGCTAATAGAAGCCCCTAGAACGATCTGAGAACAGATGGCATAAATATTGTCAGACAGGTCGAGTTCGAAATTATTTTAGTCGAGAGGTGAATGATCATTAGCCTGACTGTGTTCTTTTGTGGGGTGTTAGCAAATGAAATTGAAATTAACGGCTTCTAGGTCCATCGCACCCCAGCATATCACAGCGACTGCTCTTGTTTGTATATATACATTTTGGCTGTAAAGAAAGACCCGCTAGACTCATTTCCTATTCGGGATATCAAAATAAAAAACTTCGAAAGCAGATGGCTTGTTTATGGATATCGATATCTTGGATGAGACCTGGAAAAATAGGGTCGAAATTCTGTATTTTGATTGAGTAAATTTTTCTGATGCAACTTACCAAAACGATAGACAATGATCCTTGAATGCTCGCTTCGCGAGCCAACAACTTGTTGCTTGAAGTTTCAACCTCGAATCCAATTTGCTCGGCAGAGAAAAACGGTCAGAATTAAGGTCACTCTCGCTAATAATTACTTTCAGAATTGTATTAAAACCTTTCCCAAGTATGGGTAGAATTCATGGCAAGATCGATCGCTTGGACGACCGATCTTCTCTCAACGAATTTCTTGGCCGCTTGCACTGTACTGCTAAAAAAAGTTCCCGCGAAAAAAAATATTTAACTGCGTATAAATATATTCACCAATTTTTTGATGTCTTGCCAAAATAATATACGTTGCAATATTTTTGTGATTTTTGATTGGTTGGCATCAGGAAGTTGTCAGTTGTTTAATTGTTTTAAGAACAATAGCTCACGCGCGTGTTGGGCCTTTTGTTTTCCAACCAATAACAGTTGTTCTTTTAATGTGTAATCCGATGTCCACGTGCAAGAAATTGCGGTTCCAGTTTCAAAACAAGAGCACACCGAAACCACGTTTCCTTCAAGCTTCAACAAAGACTATTGTCATTAATAATTCATAAATGGAGCCCTCTCACCTCTTAACTACATTTGCATAACGTTGCGCCAATGTGATTAATTTGACCGAGTTTTCTTGATTTCGATCGACGTTTTTCACTTTTAAGACGTGTTTTATTATGAATGATAATGTTTTCTCTACTGCGCGACATTGGACGAAGAGCCATTTTTTTTCACTACGAAAGTGAAAATGATCGTCAGATCCCTTAGTGTGCATGTTTATTTTTGATGATGTAAGCAGTTTTTTCTGTTCCCGTTTCGCTTCGCCGGATCTTTGTAAATGTCTTTCAGCAATCGGCAATCCTAATCACTTTTTCGTTGATCATGTCTGTGAAATTCACGCTATCAAAGAAAACATTTATTTTTACTTTTTGGGTATTGGCAATCATTGCGTAGGGAACAATAAATATATTTCCCAGCTATTGTCATTTCTACTGTTGTATATCCGTGAATGACCTCATTGGGTGATGAAAATGGTCGGAAGATGACTCGGATAAGCAATCGACAGGTCGTTGAAAATAGCCAATCAGAAATCACTAGATCCTCAAATCGACCAATCAAATGGCGCGCGGTACATCAGAGAAGATTCCTCTTTTGCTACTCTTCTTTGCCACTGCAGGGCTCGTTTGATGGTGATAGTTTTTTTAGTGCTTCTGCGCCAAGGCTTGCTTCTCCTTTCTTACCCTTCTCTGCTTTTTCTTTACCAATTGCTGTTCCAAGTAAAATACGATGTGTTTTTACATTGGCTGACTTCTGTGAGAGGTAGTTTTCTTTCTTTTGTACGGGAGCAGTTGGTTGTGATTCACTACATGGACGTAGTGCGTCAGCGCTGAAATACGCGACCACTTACGGAGGTTAGTCTAATGTTTCTTTTTCTTGTTTTAGTGTGAAGATTACATCTACCTCGATTGGCACTACTTTGAAGAACGAAAAAACCTGCTGGGCTAAAGCAACACTTTGCGTGCGACTACTTTCACTTTTCTTAACTACGATATTTCAAGATGGCCGGAGCGACAGCTGCGCTGAACAACGAGGACCATTCTCTTACGCCCAATACTTCTGAAATGTCAAGTTGTGACAAAAATATCATCGAGATAGCTCGTTCACTGACTCTGGACTATATTTCCTACCGGTTAAGGAGCAAACTTGAACAGAGCAAACTCCAAGGGTTACCTCGACATTTCCTTATTCCTCCTCAATCGCCCACCAACGTATTAACGAGTACTCTACGAAAACTGGCAACCGATACGGAGGCAAAGTACCCTGATTTATTCGAATCAGTTTGTAAAAAGTTAGATATAACACCAGTCTCGGCATATCGTACGTTCGTCTGTGTAGCACAAGAGATTTTCCAAGAAGAAACGAATTGGGGCCGAATTGTGGCTTTGTATGTGTTCAGTGGAGTCGTGGCTCACCATTTCGTGGAAACGCAACGACCAGAAATGGTTCAGAAGATCGTGGAATGGACTGTGTCCTTTATTGCCCGTAACTTATTGACATGGATTAGAGAAAACGGAGGCTGGGTAAGTCGTAACTCTGAATTTTTCAAATTTATTCTCCTTTTTTTATTTATTTTATATTATTTTTACTATTTTTTGATATTTTTCTCTTTATCTCGCCTACCAGCTGCATCCTTGTAGTAATTTGCTGAATGCAAATTTCAGTCTATATTTACATTGATTATGAGTGAGACATTCATTTATTCTGTCAATGTCTCGTTTACTCTCGTGTCTCGAATTGCTGACATATAGTATTTTAATGCAAATTCTACATGAAATTTTCTGCCTTGACAAAATTTATAGGACCTTACTAAAGTAAACAAGCGAAATTAAAATTTCCCTTCAACAGCGGGATACTATTTCACCTCAGTATGTTTTCTTCAACTTTCTTGACATAAACAATGTTTCTGTTTTCGTGGGCAGGTTGGGATCTTGATTTGATGGGATTATTTGAAATAAAATTAATTTGTAAGTCTAATGTAAGACAAATTTTCGGTTGAAGTATTTAAAAAAATTCCGTTTGTCAACCGTGGCATCACTATATTGCCCTATGGTTTTAATCTTTGATCACTCTCCAAAATTCAAGTAAAGATATTTGAAATTCTTAATTTGCTATTATGTAATAAAGCTTTTAAAACTTATAGCGTGAACAAAACAAAATTGAACCATAAATATATATCAAGTGACAAAATTTACTTTGTCTTCCCTTAGAGATAGTTGTTCTTTTACTTTTTAGAAGGTTTATTTTTAGTTAAGAACGGTAAAAATTGTTATTTTTTAGCCTTGCCTCAATTCACCATTTTTTTAATTATGAAGATATCACTGGCATTAAGTTCAGTATTTTGATATAGGCCAATAGACTAGTTTTTTTTTTTCTTGTTGTTTTTTTTTTTCTTGTTTTTTTTTAGCTCACAATTCTAGTTCATTGTTGTGCTTAGTTGATCTAAGTATTGCATAATATCTAATCTAGATTCATTGCCTTATTATCTTGCTGGAACAAAATTTGTTAATTTATATGTTTCATGATTTTATTTATCACTTTATTTTGCAAGTCTTGGGAGGTTGTGATATCGTGCCAATATCTTGTGTTTCCTTTGGATGAAAGCTCTCTCGTTTATTTTTGTTCAATTTTTTCCTTTATCCTCAACTAATAGTTATCAGCTTTAACTCAGCTGGTCATAGATGATCAGAATGACTAGCAAAAGTCATCTTTTAACTAAAGTTTTTTTTCTATTAGCTCTTTGTAGTACATGCTGTTGGACAGACTTGTTGACATCAGCACTAGACATGATGTCTTAAAAATAGCTTTTTGAAATTTTTTCCAAGGTGTTTACAATATATCCAGATACTATGCTTTTTTAATTTCTATTTTGAAAATCAATTTTTTTTATTGGATCACACTCAATTATTAGTACAGGTATATTTTGTTTCTTTCACCTTTACTTTTCCCAATGTTGTTATAAGTGTCCTTGGGAAGGAGCTATATTCTTTTTTTATATGTTTTCCCAATGATAGAGTTGTCACCTTCCTTTGATGGTCCATAATTGATCTTGCAGTATGGTCACCTTAACAAACTTTGCAGCTGGTAACATTGACTGACACAAAATTGCAGTTATTCCAATTTGGGATCTCTGGGAGAGAGTTCCTTTTACTTGGTTTGGTTGTTACTCCAGAACTTAATAGATTTCTCAAAAACTGCTGGCTTTATTACTGTGCACGGGTCATTAAGGAGTGATTGTGGATATTATAACTAGTGTTCGTGTGTTACCTATTTGACAAGAAAGGGAATGTATATTTTCATCAAACAGTGTTGCTCACTTGTACATGCAAGTTGTCTCTTTTATTGATGATGCATGTTTGGACTTTGAATACTTTTTAGTGTATTTGTAGATCTGGCTTGAATATATTTGACTTCAGAAATAATGTATTAATTTAAGATATCTTATTTTTTGCAGGATGGATTCGTTGCTCACTTCTCTGATTCTTCGCAGTCACAAACCATGTGGAAGAGCTTATTCACTGTGGGAAGTATCTGTGCTGCTGGGTTAACTCTGTTAGCTTTAAACAAGTAAAACAATTTCCCCTTTTTTTTTTTGTGCACTTGCTGTGACACATTCTTTGTATCTGCATTGGGACAAACTTGAAGGACTTGGTTATTAAATCTTTATCCTTTATCACAAATTGATGAGAATACAATTAAAACAGAAGGTTGATCTCTACTTTTGGTATTTTTGGTTGCTGTGGCTTAGAGTCCAACCACTTTTACTGACTAAAAAAATCCACTGGGGATATTTTTGTTAATTGTTCATAAAATCAAATTATCATTGATACACGTGTATAGTTACATGTAAATATGTTGTCTTTAATTTGGTAGTTGATAGAAATTAAACCCCCTTTAGTACAGATTTTTTGATCAGTCACAATGTAGATACAAGACATGCATGTCTCTCGAGAAACATGTGCAGCTGACTTCCTGCGGGGTTGAAAGAAGTAGTGATGCTGAAGAAGCAATTATTGCTCAAGTTGCTAACGAGTTATCAGCATCAAGCTCATTAGTCTAAGTTAAGCTTTTGAGCAATGATTAGAAACATTGGAAGTAGCTTTTCATGTTGAAAACTTAGTTTGCAATATTTGCCGAAAAAATCCCTAGAGGATGTTTCTTTATTGTTTTGCTAACCTTGCTCTCCAACATGAAAGTTCTCAGAGAAGAGAGCGCAGCCTCAAAAATGTCCTTGTACAAGAACATTTGACCATGTCTACGATGAGCCAGCCCTACCAGGATGCTTTGTATTGTACTTAGAAAGGCAGAACAAGAGGAGATCATGATATGTTTAAGTATGTGTCGAAAAGGATGAAATGTTATTCCAGACCTTTGTGGAAAATCACAATACATTTGCTCCAGTGCTTCTTTATCTACGTATATACCTCCTTCCAAAATGTTACATGTTTTGTCCTTGGACTTGTGTTTCAAGTTATCAAGTTATACTATGCACTAAAAGCTGCCAGCATCAACCAGGGACATTTGCTATATGCAAGCTGAGAACAACAATATTGGCCAAATTTATGGCACAGAGTGCTGCTGTAGTTTCTTGTAGCTAATCATGATGTTCTGTCACTGATACTGATGGAACTTTTGCTGGATTCTATTGTGTGTCCATCCAAGCCTGAAACAACCAAAAAGTTGTTGAAGAAACTGAGCTGTGTTTGATCATTTATGCCTAGGTATTTTTTGCTCCAGACATTTATGCATTGTAGTAGAGACTTGAAGAAATGTACTGAAATGAAATGGGCTAAAATTTGTATAGGATACTTATGATCTCATTTACATAGTAATGTTTAAACCTTGCTGCTAAGGTTGTGTCAGGTTATTGAGGCTGTAGAAGTAATAATATCAATCAACTTAAGTGCATCTTTCAATAATGTGAATTGTGGAGTTCAACAGATGTGCTGAATTCATGTCACTATCATTTTGCTGACTGATCAGGTAATGCAAACATAGCATGGGCTCAGGGCAGAAAGTTCTATTTATTGAAAGGTGCATTAAGTCCAAAAAGGCCAGGTTGGTAAAGCTGTTAGTGGTAAGGCTTGTTAGGCCCTTTGTAGGAGATCACAGGTTTCCTAGTCAATTATGAAAGCCTTTTTTTCATTTTGTAGAACCTTTCTGCTGCTTTATTCTATGATAACATTTGTTGTCCACATTACTTTGCATTCTCGGACAGTGTGTTTGCATGAGTGGGACAGTGTGGACTTTGAAAAGAAATTGTATTGTTGAGAACAATTGAAACAACCACTTGCACAAGGGTTGTTCTTGAGTTGAAAATAAAAGAATTACCAAGCAACACTTGTTTATTGTTTTTCTGTACATTCCAGTTACCTCTGGGTTTTCCATTGAGGCTGCTTCTGACATTGGTCAGTTTGACAGTTTTACATGATGTTGAAGGTAAAATGAGTCTCAGCCCTCATTTAGGACATTGCCATTTGATGACATTTGTCAAAATGTTTTAAAAAAGACTTAAAAAATCAAATTATTTCTTTTGTGGCTTTCTTTTTGTAAGCATAACCACAAGTGCATTTTTTAGATTCCTTTCTCCCTTGTTTTATTTCTTGCTTGTTTCTTTCCAAGTTAATTCTTGAAATTACACAAGAATCCCCTCCCTCCCTTGTGTGTTCAATCCATTGACGGGAGGCTAACTCTCATTGAGTTGAACAGTTCTCTCTCAGCGTGTAGGAGGGCGAGATAAGGTCGAGGTGATGAATCTCTATCATCTATTCACACATCAGTGAAATCATAATAGACAATAGGTGATCGCAGGAGTAATGGGCGCTTAGTGATCGAGATTTTTCTCAAGTAACATCTCCATTTTAAACTTGCGAGTAATTTGAAACCCCTCCCCCATAGAGAAAGCTTGCTTTTCCTTTCCTGCTAAGCTAGTCAAATAAAGACAGTACTTTCAATTCAGGATCTTCATTGTTTAATAGGAATGAAATTGTCGGGCGCTTCACGATGTCTAACTTGGCCAACGAAGGCCAACGACTCATCTCCAGTTGATTCTTACCCGTATTTTTGAGGGAGAGAAATTAATCATTTTTATCAAGGAGATCGAGCGAACTATCCGGGACCGAAAGATACGTGACGCGATCTGTTTTTTTCCGTATATCCGGGAGATTTGCGAGTAACCCAAGAAAAGTTAGCCCCGTTCCCAATTTTCTCCCAGATACTCAATCTGAGGGAGTCTGGATACAGAACCTGAGTACTTTTTGTCAAGTACGAACCATCAATGTGTCGCTTTTAATGAAAATTTAAAATGGCGGCATAATCCCTGCTTGTGACAACGACTTTTCCTATTTGAATCGACTCATATTTTTCAACGCATTAGGTGAGAAAATGCAAAGACGGATATTGAAGAGCGAAAGCCCGATTATTGAACGTTCGTATCAACGGAAGCAGATGACAAAGCGTTCTCATGCAGCCTTCACGTGGGTGTTTGTCAACGTAATTTTGGCCGCAATTTTCTTCACTGAGTTGTAAGTTAACAGATATGTCTAATGAAACAAGGAAATATTACCCGTATCTTTAATCTTTCCATTTATTTTTATGTGGTTGGTAGTTTGCTTTAAGAGCGAAACGTTTTTATGGAGCTGTCATACAATACCATAATTATATATCCAACTGCCGCTTACAGTATGCAAGCCTTAGGCCTTCTTTGAACCTTGTAAGGGATTTTAGAAGGGTGTATAAACGGAGCGACTTATATCCGAGGGGGCTTGGAACTGGAATAGAAAAATACTTCAAAATTGGATACAACAGTGCTGATTAAGATACATTTTGCATTTGGTGGTTTTTAACCCTCTAACTCCCAAGATTTCATTAGAAATTCTCCTCACTGTCTGCCATACAATTTATGTGATGTTACTTTGGAGAATTTGATATTGGATTAGCCAATAATCCCCTAATTGATATTTTTCTTTATTCTCATTACTGTGTTATTGTTTTTCCCTTCCAAATTTTGTTTAAAAAAAACAACAATAAAAACAAATAGAGTGTTTGAATTCAGAGTTTTTTCGGAAATAAGTGTATGTTTCAGGCATACAATATTGGGAGATACTTTTAACAAATTATCTCAAATTTTCAAAAATTTCAGGGTTTTTGGATCTGTGGCAGAATATTTTGAATTTGAACATCCTCTGGTGTGGTTTGTTGGTAAGTGAAGGCTTTGACTGAATTTTCATAAATTTTGTTTAAATATCAGACTGTACATGTTTCAGAAAAGGTTAGAGAAGACTTCAGATGATTGATTAATACTTGGTTTGTTAAAAGGTAAACTAAACTTAATTTAGGTAGGGTGGCCCATTCAACCACATGGCTGTTATCCAGAGGGGCTGTGGCATTTAAACTTGGGTATCACTGATGATGACACTAAGGAAACCAGCTTGATTAATTTAACAAATGTCCACACTGTTGTCTTGTTAGCAGTATGACTAGTTGTAGTTTTTGGACACATCTAAGACCTAATTCTTGTGCAACTTAAGGTGTCCGGAAGTGTCAAATGCTAGTCCATGGAGGGACTAGCATCAAATTTATCCATACGATATCACCCCTGAATCAAACATGAAGGTCAATTGAGAATAAACGACTAAAGAAGTTCTTGATTGTTAAGCAAATTCTCCTTGTTAGCTCGTTAAGAAATGTATAGAGAACATTATGGAGAATATAAAATCATACTCATGTTAGGGTGGAAAGGGTTAACATAAATGTTCTGGATCAATATCAGTATCTGGACAACTGCCCACCTACCCCTCCCCTAACTCAACAACAGTCAATTGACAACAAGTTTAGGTTAATGTTGGGTTAGGGGAGGGGTAGGTAGGCAGTTGCTCAGATACTGATATTGATCCAATATTCCTATATATTTAGTTTGTGGCTTGGCAATCTGGTTCACCTTCTGTTTCATCGTGGATCTCTATCATTATATGAGACCTGTTCTGGGACAGAATAGTGTGGTGCTTTCATTGGATCAAAGAAAGCTTCTTGGCATTCAACCAACAGGTACAGAGTGAAAGAGATGTGTGAGAATTTGACAACTATGTTATTTGCACTGATGACTTAGAAGACTTCCAGTATTCACTATTCTATCTTCCCATCCTTGAGATATACTATTTTGACTTGTTATTAATTTTCTCTCTTAACCCTTTTACTCTCAAATAAAATTTTTTATTCTCCTTTCTGTCAGCCATGCAATTCTTATCATCTTAGTTCAGAGAATTTAGTGTTGGATCAACTAGTTATCCAAAAATTGATATTTTTCTTTATTCTCAACACTCATCCGGTTGATATTGTATTGACATTGTAAGGAGAAATTCTGTCTTGGTCACTCATGTGAGTGAAAGAGTTAATTGACTATGTTATCAGTTGTATGTGAGAGTTGCAAGTAATCCAGGTTTGGACTTGATTTGTATCACATTGCTATGTGATTGGAAAAGAAAAAGAAATAAATGATAAAAAAAAAAAAAACATAAGCCAGGCAAAGAGAAAATGCATGATCATGAAAAAATTTTTTCAGTTTGAAAATCTCAACACAACTCATATTATCAGATAGGTGATGATCTGAAATTGTTCCATATTGTACAAATGTATGTTTGGAAGTATATAATAAAACTCTTAAGTCCTTCTCTCATGTATTAGCCAGGGTTCCCTTTAACCCCTAACTGTGACTTACACTTAATTTCTCTATACAGTATCACCCCTTAGTCAAACATTAAGGTCATGAGAATAAAGGAAATGATCACCAGTTAAAGAAGTTCTTGATTGTTACACAAATTCTCCTTATCAGTACCTTAGGCTATGTAAAGAGAACAGTAGGGAGATTATGCATACTGATGTTCGGCTGTAAAGGGTTAAGAAACCACTCTCTTATAGGCCCCTCCTTCCAACCATTGAGATCCCCAAAGCCATGTTGTTCAAAGCTGGGTTAAGAAACCCAGAGTAAGTGTGAAATCTGAAATTAGATCTGAGACTTTAAAAGAAAAATAAATGTAATTCTTTTTGTTTACAAATTGGTTATTGGATGCTCTAACAAGAATTATCCTAAAAAGGCTTTTGAACAAATATATGAAGAATCCAGGATTAAAATTTAACCTTGGGTTAGTGCTGATTGGCCTTTGAACAACTAGGCCATAGCTTACAAGCCTAAAAAAAGATAAAAAAATAAGCCCCCTCCCCAATAAGCCACTCGTATAAAAAGTCCCTCATCGCTAATGAGCTCCTTCTCTTTGAGTGAAGTCCCCCCTGTTCAGCCCCCTCTTTAATAAGCCCCCTATCTGCTACAACCTTTCTTCTCTAATGAGCCCCTTGTAATAACCTGTAATAAGCCTCAGGGAAATTGATAGGGCCCCCCCATGCCCTCTCAAGGCCTATTTTAGTGTTAGCAGTACTTATTTTTTATACCCAAATCAAGCAGATGGTAAAAAAATTACCCAGATTCTTATTGAAGGTTTTCCTCAGAAACAGCATTTGTTCCAATAAAACTATATAAGATTTTGAACCAAAGGATGCATGACTGGATGATTCTATAAATTTCTTGATGTGGAAACTTTTATCCTCATGGGATTTTGATTTTTAACTGCCACTTTGGAGTTGGGTCCATTCAAAAATTTAATCAATTTTTAACTCAATAGACTCAGGATTCAAGCTGGCCCCACCTGAATCTCCTACTAGTCATGGATCTGCTGTCTCTCCTTCCATTATCCCCAACACTTCCTCCCCCACCATGATTATGACTACAACCATCACCCGGACACCAACTTGGCCTCATGGAACCCCACCTAGGGTAAGGATGCTAAAAATATTTTTCTGTGACATATATGGTTTAGGAAAGTCAAGATTTTTTTCCTGTCACTTGCTACAGGACCCAGTTGCCATCTAGTATATGTGTTGAGGTAAGATACTGGGCTACCCTCTGCATAGAGAATTGTCCAATGGAAAACATCACCCACCCTTCCATTGACCAAAGGAGGGGGGGGGCGGTCTTTTAGATATAGCAATTAGTAGAGGATGCTAATACAAGGGGATTTTTGTATAATGCTTTTCAACAAGAAGGTAGGCAGAGCCATATGGAGTCATATGATAAAACTAAATGCAGGTGTTGTTTTGTTGAATATACTGTTGAACAAGATGCAATGATCGTCTTTCAGTCTAACAGTAGCTCACCAAGATCTCCCATAATGGGTACACCATCATTTTACAATGAGACAGTGAGCAGTCCTGATACAAGGTTTGTGACTCTGTTAATGTGTAGACTATTGAATATTGCAGACTGTCAGGGACTTGCATCTGGGACTCAGTAACTTAAGACTTAAGGGGGCATCAGTGGTCACAACAAAGTGAAAATAATGATCTTATGAATTAAAAGGAAATAAATTTTTTTTTGTTCTTATTGAAGGTCAAGGCACTCATCCCCAGGCCGGTCACCATGTGAGTATCAATTCACTCTGACAAAGGGCTAATGCTTGCAACGTCAGATTTTAAATACGTCATGGTGGCCAATTCATGTTATCAACTTAGTTGATAACACCAAATTACCCTTTTATACTCTCCCACCAGTGCAGCATGACAATTTTTTTGGAAGCTTACCCCTTTATTTATGAGTATCAAGCTGGTTGTGAAAAATTTGTTGCCTGATTGTGTGTACATGTAAAGCACTTTCTGTTTGACTGTCATAAGACCCAAACCAATTGAAAGTAATCACAACAGCCAATCAGAGGGAGGGAAGGTACCTCTTAGAGCCAATGGGAACTCAAAGTAAAAACCACCAAATTGCCTAAAACACAGAAAAATGTGGGTGACCAAGTTGTAATTGATTTTAGTTTTGCATCGGATTGGTTTAGAGAGTGGTGGGAGTTTTCTAGACCAATCACAGGGCAAAGGAAATTGAAACCAATGCAATCCCAGAGTTCTTTTGACAAAACTGAAAATTGCTCTAATTTAGTTTCAGTTAATTTGAATCATGGTGTTTATTAGTTCCCTCCAGTGATCACATGACAGATTTAAACTCACTTGAACAGTATCTCAGAGAACAACAACAAGAAGAAGGAAGATTACATAGAGGTAAATGCATTCTTACTTGATAATTTTCATCATTCTCAATACCTGAGTGCTTGACTTTGTTTTAACACAATGAAGAGAATTTGCATGCTGATCTCTCTGAGATAAAAAAAAGTTGACATTTTTCTTTTGAATTTTTTCTTGTGAACTAGTTGCCTCATCAGATGCCCTTACACCAGGGCGTGGACAATCTTTCTGGTCTGGCTACCGACACGACTTTACTCCCCCACTTAGTGTATACAGGATTGCAAGAAGGTGTGTTTAGACTCTGTACTTTTCCAAGGGGTGCCATCTTGGTATCTTCACTGTGCAGTCTAGCATGGCAAACCCAAGATTTGTAGATCCAATCTTTGTGCTTTGTGTCCCTGCATGTCGCACTGTAGGTCACTGAAACTCAAGTACAAAGTTTACTGTACCCTGTTTAACATGCTTCATATTTGTATCACCTGTAGTCTCGCCACTGTTTTGTTATGACAAGGACAATGTGGACAATTTTTCATCATATCTTATGTATTTTTATCATCACAGGTCACCCGATCTCAGCTCTTCAAGGGATGATGATGATGCAGGCTATAATAGCACCAAAGCTGATGAGGTACATTGCACATGGTCTCAATTGAACCATTGAATTTATTGAATTGTCTCCTAAGAAATCAAAGCTTCCTTTGTTTTCTTGGTACTTCAAATTTGGACGATTTAATGAACAGTTTATGAATGTACCTATTTCTCAGAACAATTCTTATCACTTTTAATTCTTTCAAGAGAATAGTAATATTTCCCTACCCTCCCCTTCCCCCCATTAGAAAATTGTATCTATGACACTGCTGAATGCAAGCAACAAACAAATGCTTCAGTTTCATGTTGTTTCGTGTAACAAAAGTATGCCTTTTCTTTTCATTTTAAACTCGCATTTTCCTGATCTCAGATTTGGACCCAATATGCTGTGACAAGAACAGATCTGGATCACTGGATTGAGAACTGCAGAAAGGTAGACATTATCCCTCCAACTCCTTAGATCTGATTGTTAATTCTCCCCTCTTGCAACTGCACATTACCTTGTTAATTAGTTATGAGAATTTAGTCTTAGATCAAGATAACATCTTCTGCCTTATTATTTTGTATATTCTTATTACCTGTTTGTTGGATAATATATGAACATTTTTGGGAGAAGTTACATGTTAATGACTTCTGGGAGTTTGAGGGTTAACAATAAAGCCTGATGCCAGGAGTCCGTATTCGCAAAGAAATGCATCTACTCAGTTTTACTCATTACATTTTATATTTTGTTTTTGCATGGACATTTTGTGAATTATTTTCGCGTTCATTTTTTTGTCCAATGTTATTTACATTCTCCTGGATTTTCTTTGCATACTTTTTCTCTGGTTGGGATCTTTTTCTAAGTTTCACCGCTGAATTTTTCGTTTACTTTTAAGTTGATATATAGTCAACATCATTTACGGTTGAATTTCCGCCGTTTTCCGTCCATCAGGTCATACAACGGTTATAGTTGTCTTTGCCTTCTCATTTCTGTTTCTTCTGTTATGTTATCATAAATTTCTGAGTTTTTAACCATGTGAGATCTGGACGCGAACATCGCGCGAGCTTGAAAAATGTTAACAAGCAAAACAAACAGGGCGGCTCGATACGGTCGCACGATTGTTCTCTAAAAAGGTGTATTAAAACAGAATAAAACGGTACAGTTTTTATATAATGGACTCAAGGGTTTCCAGCAACTATGCCCATAATATTCGTAGTCCTTTTATGCCTGAAAAAGAGGTCGACAGAAAATAAAACACTGGGGGGAAGATTATGGTTCATGCATCACTTGAAACAAAGTGGCGCGTTCAGACAATTAACTGTTTTTTCGCCAAGCCCAAACCGTTGCTTTCTATTTATCAATAGTTGTTTTCAATGTTCCTTTCTTTATCTGCTGTTTCCAAAAGAAATTTACTTTGTTCTTCACAGTGGCTTTGTCAAACGATACTGTGTCGGCTTGTGGAGCAGATTGAAGCCGTTAATGAGACTCTCTGTAGAATTGGCTGCTCAGAACTTCAAGTTGGAAGTGAGTAATCCACCATTGTGCTTCAGCATTCCTCTCTCTGAGGTCCTTCCGTGTTTAAGGGGGCACTCTACAGCTTCATGTAAAAAACTAAACAAATACATCGATCTTCAGGACTACATGTAAATTTATAAACCGGACATGATAAATTAGGGAGCGTTATCCGCACCTACCCCTCCCCTAGCTCGACAACAGTCAACTGATCACAATTTAGGGTTAATATTGGATTAGGGGAGGGGTAGGCGCGTAGTTACTCAGGTACTGACCTCGATCCGATCTTCTAAGCTCTAGAAATTTTGCAGTAACAAACAGTAACACTTGAATTTTTACTTTCTTGAATTTTCCTCAGCAATCAGTCTCAGCGCAGCCAGACAAGTAGCTGTTACTAAAGCCGACCAGGCTCCGACGTTACGGGCCATCATTCCATATTTAGAAGCTTCGAATAATCAGGAATACCTCGTGAAACGCCTGTCAGGTTTGTTTTAGCGGCTCCTTATACAATCTAGCTATTTTTGATTGATTGCCGCAAAACCATTCGCAAATATCGACAATGACCAATCAGAACAATGGAGAATAACTCAACGAGCCAATGAAAATTCAAGGAAAAAAGCCGCGGGAAAACGAGTGCATTGCGCTTTATGATGTCCATATTTGGATGCCAGCATAAATATCCTGTGCAGTTTAATGTTTAAAGGTCTTTTTTGTCAGCTATTTTGGTGAAAGGGTCTGTAGTTATCATGCTTGTTGTTGTATTTTTTAGAATTAGCACAAGGTGGTTGTATGGGTCTATATCGATGGAATTGCGGCGGGCAGTACAGAGGCAAATCGTGGGAACAAGACTTATTAGCCGATTCGCAGGTTTGTAAAGTAGAAAAATTCCCATCTGTGGAAACAGCGGAGAAAGGTCACACATGTATATGTGGACCAATTTTTGCTGGCCACCTCTTACATAGCGGTAAAATGTGTATGCCTTTGCGAAGTTGAAACGGCTAAGAGGCGGCCAAAATAGCTACACGACATCGTGCTTTCAGGTTTCCGTAAGCAAAATGTCTCACAGGAGAAGAGGCTAGTAAGTCGGGGTGTCTAAAAACGCGTTTAGTAAAGCTCAAGAAAAATAGCGAATCAACAGCTATTGAGTAAACTTTGTGCCCAGGAAATTCGTAAGCTTTCCTTTCCCAACCTTTTCATCCTTCGACAAGTGTCTCTGAACGTATCACTGAATTTTTTTTTCTGTCGTAAATTTTTGGACAACAGTTAAATAATGTTTTATTTCCTCTAATATTTTTCGGGGTAAATTGGCACGTAGCCGGCCAAAATTTATCTACCATCTGATGTTCAGGTTATACTGTAATGTCTTGGTTTTATCCGCTTTTTGAGAACTGAACCATCTGGGTCTGTGGGCTGTGGGACCTGCATCAAGTGTGTTTCGAAACCAACTGTTACCGTAACGCAAATATCGCGTCTTCAATTTGAACATTTTAATCCCTAAGAGTGACTAGCATCTAATTTCTCCTCACAGTATCACCCTTGAATCAAACATTAAGGTCATGAGAATAATGAAACTGATCAACAAGTACAGGAGCTCTTGATTATTAGGCAAAATCTCCTCGTAAGCACTTGCGGAAATGTATAGAAAACAGCATACTGATCTTAGCGTGTTACGGGTTAATACCCAACTCTCTCTCCTAGTTACTTCTTCACATGTTCTGTACATATATGGATTCTCGCCTGCCTGCAGACCCCACGTTCCCGGATGGAAGGACCTTTACCGGGCTTCACTTCCTCAAAACCCCAGACAAACCAAGTAAGCTGGTGCTTCTGTGGTTATCTAGTTGAGTTTGCGAAATTGAAGTTGAAGTTTGGTCTGCTTATGCGTTGTTGTTTGTGTTACAGATGCGCGAAAGAGTGACTTGTGTATCTATCAGTCTCGTCTTCATCCGCCACATTTCAAGGTAGCTAAGAAACGAATCAAATTACTTGAACAGGTAAAATAAGGCTGAGGACCAGAAAAACGGCTGATGCACTACTCTAGGTGACGGGGTCGTTCAGCGCAGCTTCATGTGACCTGTCATGTGGTATGGAAACGTATTTTCATTCTAGAACAAATTCTCTTGGCTCCCTCCGTAAATTTCCATACGGATGTTGGTGTTGATCTCCCCCCCCTCTTTTTTTTAACCTCCTGTACATCGAGTATGTGAACATAGATTGCACGGCTTCAGTGAGCTGATGAGAACATTTACAACTGATTACCATAACGTAGTGATCCATCAAATTATCATGCGGCCGATCACAGTTAAGGTCTCAATTAAACTTTGTTAAAAGCAGTAAAAACGAGATTATTACTGATTCATTAGCTAAACTTTAACAAAGTAATTAATATTTTAAAACTTTCTTTTCTCTTTTTCTTAGGTTATCATTGAAGATGAAGTCTACGATATGCCCAAGGTATGTTGTCCATACAAATGGTGCTTAACCCTCTAACTCCCAAGATCTCGTTAGTAATTCTCCTTACTGTCTGCCATACAGTTCTTATGATGTCAATTTGGAGAATTTGGTATTGGATCAAGAAATAATCTGATTGTATTTTACTCTATTCTCATCACTTCTATGCTTGATATTGTATTGATATTGTAAGGAGAAATTCTCTCTTAGTCACCCATTGGAGGTAAAGGGTTAACTCTCTCTTCCTATAAGGGACTATGGAGAAATTTCCCCTTACAATGATTCAAGCAGACAGTTGATTAGGAGAGAGAAGAACACCAAACAGGGGATATTGTGCGAGTTTACATTAAAATTCTCAAAATTATCGCACCGTATAGCAAACAGTAAGGATAATTAACTCGTTACCTTGGGAGTTGGATGGCCAGTGTTTGTTTTGTGAGATTTCAGTGGATTCATTTCTACTTCAGATTTAGCCTTACATCATACGAGTTCTAAAGCCACACCCAAATATTAAAATATCATTCGAATATCAAGCATAATTCGGAATAAGGTTAGTTATGCTTTCCTTTGCCTTGTGATTGGTCTTTAAAACTTGTGCCACCTCACCCAATCAGATTCAAGACTACACCAATTGTGACCTGGTCACGTCCGTTCAGGCAGTTTTCTGTGTTAAGTTTGAGTACTCATTGTCTGTTTGTGACATTTTCTTTCGTTCTGGTTGTTCGTTGCGATTATGCATGATTTGCGACAAACAATCCCAAATTCGAATGCGCTGAAACACAAGGGCTCTACGATATTAATTAACTTTATTGCTTTTCTTTCAGGGACAGAACAACTTGTTTCACACCATCGTCTTCTTCCTTCACCACGTGAAAACCAAGCAGTATGGAATGCTGGGGTTAGTTGGACCATTTTCTGTTTAAATCCTGATGTTTTCTCTTTTTTCAAGCCTTTGCTAAATTCGCTATGGTTTCATAGTTCCTCCATTTGTCAGGTAAATAAATACATACTAGTAAACTGTTGGGGAACCTAACAGAATTGAATGTGTTCATGCATGAGTTGTCGCATGAGGTTTTAGACTCAACTTTACTTGCATGTGAAGCCATTTTCAATTGAGTGTCGAAATTAATCTGGAATTGTTTTGGGTTTTCTTCATTTCGTTACGTGATTGGTCCAGAAAACACGTGCCACTTTCTCAACCAATTAGATTTAAAGCTAACATCAATCGCGACGAAGTTGCCCGCGTTTTCCTGCGCTTTTGGCAGTTTGGTTGTTTTTACTTAAAGTTTGCATTGGCTATCAAAGGTATTTTCTTTTCTTTTGATTGGCTCTGGTTTTGGTTTTACGGAACTCACTTGAAAAGCGCTCCAACTTAATTCAGCCCTTCTGAGTCCATTGCAATGCAAATTTATGGACTCTTGTGTTTTTTCAGGCGAGTAAACTTGGGAATGTCCGGTGTGAACATTCTCTGCATTCTGAACATGAAGTGAGTGTAAACAGCAGTCCTCTCCAAATGTACGAGGTAAAGGAGCTAAAATGATTATTCACGCTAATCGCTTGGTCACAGTTTAAAGGAGAAAAGAGGGGAGCGATCTTATTGTCCAGCGACAAGCCTTTATCAGGTTTGACACGTGATAATTACGTTATCTTGACTTCATCAGAATTTATGAGACCAGGAGTGGCGTATGGAGTTGTCTAGAGGAGCCAGTAACATCCATTTTGGATCCATGCTACTTACAGCACTTGCTGTGTGAACGTTGGCGTTTATTTTGGAGATACGTGGATATTCTTTTGTTGCAAATCAATTAAGGGAAAGAAGAATGAATTGCTGAAAAAGGGCAGATGAAACGCATTTTGTTTTTATTTTTATATTGACGGTACAGCTCAGCTATTAGAAGAGTTGTTCGAGAAATTTAGACCTGTCTGGAATAATCAATATTTTTTCTGAGAACGTATTTTCTTACAGTTAAAAAAACTTAATCTATTACCAGCATGAGGTTAAAAGCCTCTGGCACTAGATAGAATGCGCTTTTTCCTTGTTTTTTTTGTTTATCTTAGTATCACTTTTTTCGATGTTTGATTAAAAAAAGGCAGGAAATGGAGACGAGTCCTTTTTAAAACGCCTTCTGACCGTTGTCTCCAGAACGGTGGAAGGAAATTTGGCGGAGGTGGGGAAGTGGGTACGGAAAAAAAAACAAGCCCTGTAATGAGCACCACTTTAGGAGCCTGACTTGAAATAAAGGCTGTAGATGCCTTTTCCTCATCCACTCGCCCTACCTACCCCTCCCCCCCCCTCCCCCCTGTTCTACTATTACTCAAAGCCTTTCCATTATTGCTTTACGAACCACTCATTTGCAGACTACTAACTTGGACACCTTTATAAGCCAATAGTGCTTTGTCACAATGTGAAGCACATGCTCTGACTTAGCTCGTGTTCGCCGCTCGTGATGGTGAAGACGCGCGCGTACACTCTGTGTTTGCGTGGAAGACAGACTTCCGGGCATATCATTTTTCTCCAGTTTAGCTTATTGAGAAAACTAACACAGCTTTAGCGATCGCGCAAAACTGCGTTTTCCAGAGGAAAGAGATTATAAAGCGCCTTAAGGGTTCGTAGAGTAGCGAATTTCCTTCTGGATCCTGCCCCCCCCATAGAATGTGCTCTTGAAATATTTCAGGACGAAGTGGTGGTAATAAGATGGTGTTTCGTTTCTAGTTTTCCCGCATTATAGTGGCCAGACATCAATACTTTTATGCCCGAAACATAGGGCATAAATCAAGGACAAGCCTTCGGATCGTGGAAAAAAAAATTATACCGACACTAATCTGCATTAGATTTCCAATGGAAATCATTTCTTGCGCTTGACAAGTGCTTAAATTGATAAATTTAGGTAACAGAACATTTTCCTTAAATTCCTCCTCCTTACTAACACGCCATGTTCCAAGATTTCAGGTTGATGTAAAATCTTGAGATGATATTTTAAACATTTTTTTAAAAATTTTTTTGACTTAAGATGAAGCCTTTAAACTGAGGATAACAAATACTTTCTTATGTTTAATTATAGCAAGTTTCATTTTTTGAATAAATAACAAATTATAACTAAGAAGACTGTTGCCTGCAAAAGATAACAAGGATTGACCAAAAATTTCTCGCAAACTTGCATCCATTATGCTAATTTTTTTAATTGAAATGTCCAAAAGGAGAGCTTTTTGTCTCCGTGCTCGATCTGAAACCGATTCAGAGATAAAATGCTGTCATGGTAACAGACATTTTCCATTGAGCATATGAGTTTTTTCTTTCTGTGTGCGTCAAACTCTCAATATCCAGACGAAGAGTCACCACTTTTCATTCTTGACTAAAACGTTAACGGAACAAGATTCTTTTCGTTACCACTGCATGTTTCGTGCGAGTCTATGACAATTACAAAGCGGTTTCTTCACAGATGTTAAGTCATTGAATGGACTGTTTGCTATTCAACACTCAAGAAAATTAGTTTCTTTTTGTACTCTTTCATCATGAAAAATGTTCAAAGCGCCTATAGCTTGCCTTTCAGATAAAAAGTTCAGAAAACCTTCTAACATCTCCCTTGAATATTAAAGCCAAATAAAGGACATAAAATTTAGAATTTTCAGCTAACGCATCGGTTCGTTTTTCGTGAGACAATATTGTTCAATTATGTTGTACGTAAGTGTGAATTAAAGCTTTTGAAAAGTTAACTCTTTTGTCGATGTATTTTTTCCAATATATTTATGAATTAGAAGAGTGAAATAAAAAACAATCACTCTTACAGGACTTCGCATGGCACAAATATTTCTAGTTAACGGGATTTTAAATCAAGCTTCGACGGAACATGTAAGGGCACCGTATTTCAACAAAAACGCGTAGCTATGGGAATTCTTTATTTATTCCAAGGCAGAGGAAAAAAGTCCTTGATACGAATTTGTAAGGAGCAATTATGGATGTAGTTTGAAAGAGGTGTTTTCCTATTGGATGGTTCTTTCTTTTCCACCCCATTGTTATATTTTGCACTTAACACTTTTTCAAAGAAGTTGTTTTCAGCTGTATGGTGACGCATGGATATGCAAATTGTCTTAGTTTTGGATGTGATGCGTTTTCAGATTCTAAACTAATCTAGATTGATCTCATCGGTCATAGACCAAATTTTCTTAATAAGAATGTTTTCACTGCAACTTCCAAGTTTTCGTATCGGTGATGAAGCTATTTATCCAGAGAGTAAGCGAGAAATTTTGTTATTTTGTGATTTTTGTGATTATAAAAAGAACGGTTTACACCGCATCTTTTTCAGCGGTGCCAATTATGTCTCTTCCGTGAGTCTACCAGAAATCTTATAATTATTTAGTTACGTAAACAGACTAAATTGCTTTCTATTAACTCGATGGTATTCTTGTGCTAAAAGCGAAGGGGAAATTCAATAAATTTGTAGAGTTTTCAGATAACAAATGATTGCATTTTTAATAACAATAATTCTTTATTATTGTCATAGCGTTTAGCTCACGACTTTGCAAAAAAACAAAACAAAACAAAAAAACTATTTATTATTCGCATTTCTGAAATTTTTTACCATTTGTGAGGTATCTCCTACCGAATTTCGTCCATTAAATCGATTAGAACAGGGCTTGGCTTTGTCACAAACATACTATGCATTTAAGCTTATCCCTTTTGAGATGACTATCGTTGTTAACGCTCCTTTACAAGGCATTTTTCCTTGCATTTCTGATATTGTAATTGTCAAACATCTGTCCAACTCTTTTTTACGTGGGATCTGGCCCTCTTAAAATATTTCATTTGCGGCGTGCTTTTCCAACTCGCCCTCTGTTTGCTTTGACTTTCAGACACTAGCTCTCAGTATAAAAAGCGCAATTTTCAACCAACTCTCCGATTGCCCGCATGAATTTGGTCCAGCCAAAGAAACTCCACTGCACGAGAATTTTTGGTATGAATGATTCAGTTCGTCTCCGATGATAGCCAGCTTGTTGGCAACAGATTTAATCACCTCCATGGTGTGTTTATCGTTTGTCTTTGTAACTAAAGCGACTGGCGCGGTGCGACTTGAGTTGCAATGTTTCCCGTCCATCGTCAGAATTTCCAGTAATTCGAACTTCAAGCTCTCCCGGGCGTAAATCTCCTGCAAGAGTTACAGTTATTAGAGGTTAAAATGTTTCAATACATGTTGTGATTAAATGAGGTAGGTTAAGAAAAGTTTACTAAAAACACGATTAGATTTATCCCTGATTCCGCCTACTTTTTTCTAATCCTCAAATACATCGAAGAGATAAATCAAGCAATGACCGATTTACCGCAAATGTAAATATTTTTACGATATTGCAAAATGACCGAAGGTACCGAGCGAAAATGAAATTTTGTTGAGTTCCGTTCGCTTAAGTGGGTCTTAAAATTTCCCTGTTATGTTTAAGTTTAGCCTTCCAATCACGTTATATCTAAAGAGATCGTTTTTCGACCCTAACCCCTTAAGGCATGTTTAACTGTTGTATTTTTGTATCGAAAACGTAATTGCAGATAATCGAATTTCAAGATTCCTCAGATTTGAGGAAAGAGTTAGGAGAACATTTAATCGAAGATATATTGTAGAAATGGCTCGTTAAGCGTCTGAAGTTGGATACTTGAGTGAAAAGTCGAATTAGAGTAGTGTTCGAACGAAACTTACCTGATGATTTATCCTTCTAGAGTTGATTTGGTGCTCAAAGTTAGTTATGGTGTTTCAAGCTTACGGTTGATGTTTCACGCTTGTCTCACTGGGGCTGGATCAATCGTTGAATTTTTATAAGCTCCGGGAAATGTGCGGCTCTTTATAGGTCCATAACAATAACAACAAATCACGAAACTCGATCAAAATCTCACGAGATCGCGTATCCATTGGCAACAAGGTATCGGGGAAGGACGTCACAAAACAACATCACGAGAGAAAATTTTACAGAATTAAAAGATTAGTTTCATACTTATCTAGAAAGACACGGAGTTTTTATGTTTAATTTTCGTTCTCCCGGCTCTAAAGAAATTTTGTCGTCCAAAACCTTGACTTTGGGTGGTTTCGTGTTTTGCACCCTAAACTAACTCGTTGTACTGTTTTGGACTCACTGAGAGCGGGAATCTTTTGTCTCACCTCAAAGAAGTGTCATGAATTGGAATTATCAATTACGTCATGTTTGGCTTGTCATTATACTCGATTATTGAAATTTCATTCAGATTGCCATTCTGAAAAAAAGTCCAAATAGGGCAGAAAAATAATCGCATTCTATCAACACGAGTTTCTAGTGCTTAAATTTAACTCTAATTTAATGTTTGTTCAAATGATATGTATTCGCAAAGGAAAAGTTATGAACGATTTTCTAGTGTCCTTTACAAACATAATTACTGTTGCACTTAAGAATATGTTAATGGTTGTTAATTCGAAAGTCCATAAGCGATCTTTGTTTTCATTGCTTTGTTATACATGGTAGCAGTGCGTGATTCTAAATCTGAATTTGTCGATAGCAATATTCACTTACAGATAAAATTGTGATTATCAAATCAGCAATCATTTTTAATGATACGTAGACTTGACCATATTAGACACTAGATTTCTTAGCTTAGTTTATGATAAAAAATATTACTGAGTTTATCAAACCTTGAACCTTTGACTAGCATCTAATTTCTCCCTTCAATATCGCCCTTGAATCACGCATTAAGGTCACGAGAATAAAGGAAATGATCAGCAGCTAAAGAAGTTCTTGATTGTAAAATAAATTATTTGTCAGCTCCTAAGGAAATGTGTAGAGAACAGTTTGGAGAATATGCATACTGACATTAGGGTGTAAAGGGTTAATTTGCGGCATCGATTTGGGGCTGAGAATATCTTCGTTACATTTATGGCTATATCCGTAAAACGGGCAATGAATTCATTCGACTCTTTTTCACTATGAAAACTTTGGATGGCGGCGATTAAGGTGACAAACTTTGATGGCATATTGGATACAGGGATTGCAGTGAAAAGATTTCGATATAGCTGATTTCTGCTGAAAAATTGGGAAAGATCTCCCTTGCGTAGTTAGATTGAAGTCAAGGGGAGCTTTACTCTGCGGAAAGAG